GGAAGCTGAAAATTTAGGGTAACGTTCCCCACCCATGTATGACCCCGCAAATTTAAATTCAGCTTCTCCGTCCCCGCGGGTAACACGTATGGCCCCGTGGAAGTTTTTTACGGGTAAGTTAATATCTCGGGAACCACGGAGTCTGGGAGGCTGAAATTTTAGGGTAATGACCCCCTGTCCACGCTCAACCTTGCCTATTCAAATTCAGCGTACCCGCGCTCTTGAGTATCACCTACGGCCTCGTGAGAATTTTGGCGTCTAAACTATTAACTAAGGAACCATGGAAAGATATTCACCCTTCAAGGTTTCGAATTCAACTTTATGCGCTGGTGCGTGAAATTTTTAACTATTTTCCAATTGTTGAACTATTTTTGCATAAACAAAAGTAAAAAGCAGTGAAAATCATCAACAGGCAATCGTTCGATGGGCTGAAATGCACAAAACGCATGATCGCACCAGCTAGTCTGGTGCGCATTGCTATTTATTAAAATATGCTGCACTAGTCTGAAAACGAAAATCACACGATCGGTTGTAGATGGAGGTGTTGCTGGTTACACAGTTGGATATCCAAATGATGAATTATCAGCTAACCCGTGTATTCAAGAATAAATCTGTAAGCTAAAATCACTCATTAACACAGCAAACATGTGAAAGGCAACTAGCCCGGCAGAAATCAATTTTAAGTGTTTCAGAAATTTTAAAGATACAAAAAGTGAATATCCCTGGCTAGGAGATTGCAAGAAGACGGGGGCCTGAAGTCTTGTATGTGTTAACATATGCAGTTTGTTTGGCGCTGTTGGCTCACAGTGAAGCGGAACACAATCGAAGCTCGGATGAAATAAACAGCAACACGCACCAGACTAGCCGGTGCGATCAAGCGTTTTGTGCAATTCAGCCCATCGAACGATTGCCTATTAATGATTTTCGCTGCTTTGTACTTTAGTCTGTGCAAAAATAGTTGAGACGTTGAAAAATATTCAGAAATTTCACGCACATGCGCATGAAAGATGAAATCGAAACACTGAAGGACGAGATAATAATTTACCCGTAAAAACTTTCACTAGCTCGTAGGTGATACCCGAGAGCGCGGGAACGCTGAATTTGCATAGGCTGAGTATGGGCAGGGGGTCACTACCCTAAAATTTCAGCCTCCCAGACTCCGTGGTTCCTGAGAAATTAATTTACCCGTAAAAAACTTTCACGGGGCCGCACGAGTTACCCGCGGGTACGGGAAGGCTGAATTTAAATTTGCGGCGTCACCAGTTGGTGGGGAACACTGTACCG